CCTTCATGAGGGGGAGAGAGAAGGATCAACAGCACCAGCCCAGAGCTGATTCCCATTAACATAGAAGTCAGACATGCCACCACCCTCCAACCTTCTTATCAATTCTGACACCAACCATCTCTCCCATAGCACTACTTCTCTGCTGGGTTCCATTGCAATGGCTACACAGAAACAGACAATACTCATGATTATAGCATTTATTAGGTAAGCTACAGGTTACACTTCAGGCTCAGGAATGTTCAGGATACAATTCTTTTATCAGAACTGCCTCCCCATAGCCATGCACACAAGCACACAGACCTCTTTGGTCCTCGACCTCTCAGCCAGGCCTCTGCCCTACTCAGGCAAGTGTTACAAAGCTCTTTTAGCTCTGTCAATAGTTGCGTCTAGGGGCACCCCACTGTGCCAACAAGCCTCTTGCTCAAAGGCACTCAGCTTTCCCACTCTATGGTCCAGTAAGCCTGCCACTCTATCTCATGCAGTTCTCTTGGTTCTGCTGCCTCAGCTGCCACAGTCTCTCTGTCGTCATGTTGGTGCAGAGATCTTGGGTCCAAGGACATGCTCCACTCCCAGCTTTTCTCTCTTGATGGTTATGAAATTCCCACTTCCACCTCTGGAAAGGCTTATTTTAAACCTAGCAAAATTACAAAACCAACCAATTCCGGGAGGGGAGGGAATGCTGTTAGATAGATAGTGATAAATATTGATTTGGGTGAAGAGAAGGGCAATGTACCAAATGGGAGTGACCAATATGGCACCATTGAGGATGAGAAAGACATAGAGAGGTACATGGGAAGTGCAGACAACAAATATGAATCCTTTTGCATATACAGTACTGAGTTGTCAGTGAAGGCAAACAGGGGTATATGGACGGATAGATAGGCGGACAGGCTAAACAATTAGGTATGTCTAAATGGGGAGTGTATCCAAGATCATATATAGGGTTAGCAGAAAATGGTCCTATAAGTTTATGTGAGTGATCAGAATTTCCAGGTGTATAGTAGAGCTGACAAGGGGCAAGGTTATGGTCATTGCTTGGTCACAGCCAGCTACCCAGAGCGACCAAGTAGTTGATCCTGCGGGCTTGGGACCATAGTCGCAGGGGACATCAAGCTCAATTGGCATAACATACTATACAAAACATTGTTCCACCTCCTACTTTGGCGAGTAGCGACTGGGATCTTAAAAGCTAGCAAGCTGCCATCTAGATGCAACAATGGGTGTCTCCTCGTCAAGAAGAAAGAAGAAAACCAAATGAATGGAAACAATCAGTCCTAGCGACTGGTACACCATCTGATCTGCAACCTATACAACTATGAGACCAGAAGAACTAGATGGTGCCCAGCTACCACTGTCATCCACTTGGAAGGGATGTAGGAGATCCTGCATAGAGAGGGAGAACAATGTGGAACAAAACTCAAAATCATTTGGAGGCAAAAAAAAAAGAAGGTGGGGACCAGGTTTGCTGGTCCAATAGAGCCTGGTGAAACCACTGAGACTATGGCCCCTGGCTGCCCTTCAGGTCTGGAATTGAAACCACACCTGTGGTTTCCAGCCAAACAAAGTACAAGCAAGTGAGTAAAAATTTACCTCAAGTGGACACGCACCCTGGAGAGAACAATCATGGGAGAAGGAAGGGCTGCTATGCACAGGGAGACAGCTCAGGGCGCAGAAGAGTATGGAGGGATGAACACTGGGAAGAGGTAACTATGGGAAGGAAGTGGGAGGGGAGCTGTTGTATTGTAAATTTTGGTCAATGACATGAGACAAAGTATATGTGAACTGCTGTATGAAAAGTGAATTTACTCTGTAAATCTTCACCCAAATCAAAATAAAATTAAAAAAAAAACAAACAACCAATTCCCAACATTACAGTTCTATACACCTTATTTGCCTAGTCCCACCCACACAAGGGTGACGTGTACCTTATTCACATTATTAGCAAGCTATCGAATCCCTAAGGCACTTGACTGCTAACCAGAAGGCTGGCGGTTCAAACCCACCAGCCACTCCTCAGAAGGAAGATGGGGCAATCTACTTCCATAGTGATACTGCCTCAGAAACCCAAGGAAGGGGTCACTATGAGTCGGGTCCAACTCGATGGCACATAACAACAACAACATTGAATCCCACAAACACTTTACATCTGCATAGTCCCACCCAGTCACTTGGTGGGAGTCACAAAGACCATAGCCAGAACAGCCATATTAAGTAATGCACTGCACCACAGTACAGTGATAATGGAAGATAAGTTTGGAAAATGTGTGTGCCTTGGTATAATAAGCACCAAGAACCAAGGAACTGCTGAAAGCTTTGGGGCTGGGGAATAGCACAACAAGAGTTGGACATTGGGATGATTCCTATGGCAGCTGCATATATAGAGAGAAGGCCAAAGACTACTCATGTAACAACTGAGGAAGCCATTCCCCTTCTCTGAGTTATAAACAATATGGGCTAAATTAAGGTCATTGTTGTTTGTTGTTATGTGCCGTGGAGTCAAACCCAACTCATAGTGACCCCTCCTTGGGTTTCCAAGGCAGAATCACTACAGAAGTAGATTGCCTCATCTTCCTTCTGAGGAGTGGCTGGTGGGTTTGAACCACCAGCCTTCGGGTTAGCAGTCAAGTGCCTTAGGCACTATGCTACCAGAGCTCCTAAATTAAGGTAGTGGTGATGAAATAGAACAAAGAAGACAAGATGGGTGTGTATAGCAGACAGAGGTGCTCAGAAGCTGGTAACTGATTCAAATATGGGGAACAAGTGAAATGAGGCAAATGTGATGTGTATTGCAGTTCTGAGGAAATTTTTCTCAAAAATAACTTTTAATATATTTATTTATGCTTATTTACAATGTGTCTAAGATTACTAATCTGCAGTATATTCTGCTCAGCATCTAACATTTCTGAGCTATTATAAAATATATAATATATAAAATATATATTTTTTAAAAAAACATGAAGCAGTTTCACTTACACTAATTTATCCTAGAAGAGAGCAAGGCATAAAATAAAAAGAACTGGGCTATGAATGAGGGATAGGAGTTTTATACCTAGATCTTCTAGCTGAGTACTATATGATTGCAGCAAGTCATTTAACCTTAATAAAATGTAGCTATTTCCAGACTCAAGCTTATTATAACATTAACTGATACTGGGGGAAAGTTGAAAGTGGTTCACAGCAGAACATCAGTGATCTAATTTAGAACTTTGAGGCTGACTAGTTCTACATTCAACTCTTTTCCTTGATTAATCTCTCCTCTTGGTACTATACTGATCTGTGCACTAGAGTAAAATATGAGACAAGGAAATTGGATCTGGCTTTCTTCACAAGCTTTCAGTACTTTGTGTATAATATTGTTGTTATTATGTGCTGTCAAGTCGGACCCAACTCATAGCGACCCCTCCTTGGGTTTCTGAGGCTGTATCACTATGGAAGTAGATCACCCAACCTTCCTTCCGAGGAGTGGCTAGTGGGTTTGAACCACCAGCTTTCTGGTTAGCAGTCAAGTGCCTTAGGCACTATGCTACCAGAGCTCCCTTGTGTATAATAGGATTAAATAAACAGATAGTACTTATAATAAGAATCATCTCAACTCCCATGTCCATAAAATTAAGTGCTTGGACAAGATGATTTACTAAGTTCCTTTAATCTTCAATATTTGACAATTCTGTATAACCCCTTTTCAACCTTAAAAGTACAGTCATGGTTGCCATAAGAACATCTTTTTTTTTTTTTTAATTGGCGTGAATCATATTTCAATTTAATTCTGTCACTATCCAAATCCATACCGCAACCTCTTAAAAAGCTATGTGCTTCCATTCATGACTGGAAGAAAGAAAAAAAATCTCACCACATGCAGCAATAATATGTTCTTTTGGCCATTTTCTTTTTTATTTCCCCCATATAACCCCAAACTTCCAGTGGAGAAACATAACCTTTCTTTTGGAAACCACCAGGAATTATTTCAATTTTCATTTTACTGAAATTTATATTATCTCTTTGCTATTACACCTATTGAACTCTATTTGATCACCCATTTCCTAACCTTCTATTCAAGCACAATGATCGAGAAAATATTCCCTGGTTCTTGCTTCTTTTATTGTTTTTCTTTCATAAATTCCATTGTGATGCTCTTTTGTCTACTATTCTTTCATAGGACACATGGTATAGTAACATAAACATGACACAAACTGAAAATATATTCCACTTTTGAGCAATAAATACTGCCTAGATAATCCATATAAGAGTGATTTTTTTCTTTTCAAAGAGAAGTACCAGTTTCAGTTAAAATTTTAGTGATTTTTTTTCCAATTATTGATATGAATTTTAGTCCTTTTAAAAAATATGTGGTAACAGAATATCCACAGTGAAGAATGGAACAGATTTTGTACTACTAACTTCTTCCCAAGTGTTAAATGCTTTCTCAAGTCTGAATTTCTCAAGTTTGGGAGAGATCTTAACAGGAAATTCTCAAAATATCTATGAAAACAGAATTCAAGAATTTCTATCTGGATGATTGCAAAACCTATAATCTTATCAATCTAAAAAATAAGAAGAAACACAGTCTTACAGGAATGACAGTCAGTGGTTACTTTTCCACTGGAATGAGGAGTCTTGAGGTTGGGTGAATATGTCCCCAAACCACAACATGTTATATGTAAGAGTCACCTCCTCAGGTGATATGACCACAAGTGCAGAACTGAGGCTTGAGTAGAAATTACAGCATTGTTTGAAAATGAAACATTAACGTTTCTTGTAAGGAGGAAGACATTTGGTGAGTATTAGCTGAGCAACAAAGAAAAATCAATTTGTAGATATCCTTAAAATAACTCAGTATTTGAACAATCAGAGAGCCAAAGAAAGCTAAGGAGTAACAAGACAAAAATGTGTCTGTCACAAACAGAGGTGGCCAAGACCTATAAAAGGCCCCAGGTGGAAGTCACAGCCCAAACTCAGGAACTTCTCCAAGCAATCCAACTCTCAACCCAACTCCTGATACCATGGCCTGCTGCTCTACCAGCTTCTGTGGGTTTCCCAGCTGCTCCACCAGCTGCTGCCAGCCCACCTCCTGCCAAACCAGCTGCTGCGGCACTGGCGGTAGCATCAGTGGTGGCCAGGGGAGTGGCCAAGGAGCTACAACTTGCCGTGTCAGGTGGTCCCGCCCAGACTGCCGTGTGGAGGGCACCAGCCTGCCCTCCTGCTGTGTGGTGAGCTGCACCCCCCCAACCTGCTGCCAGCTGCACCACGCCCAGGCCTCTTGCTGCCGCCCATCCTACTGTGGACAGTCCTGCTGCCGCCCAGCCTGCTGCTGCCCCTGTTCCCAGCCCACCTGCTGCCAATCCACCTGTTAAAGACCTCCTTCTGATGAAATTCTGAGAAAGCAACACTGCAAAATTAACCACCGCTCCAATATGGAATCTCAACAAACTTCTGAGTTCCAGTGCCCATAACCCAACTTTCAACCTTCTGACAAATACAAAGTTTCCCTAGGATGTAAATTCATGGATAACAGAAGACTAGGAATTTTTGACACAACTGGGTATCAACAGAAGTCCCACAATGTGAAAAGAGACATGCAATCTCTTACAATAAATATTACCTGAAATATTTCAGTAATATTCCAAAAGCTCATTGGGACTTGCATTTTAAGAAATTTGTCATCTGACCTTCAGTGATGAAGTCATCGTTGAAGCTTCCTTTTCTGTGGATTTTCTTAACGATCGTGGGGTACTGGGCTTTTCCAAATTCTCAATAAATCTGGTATTGTACTATGGCTTTCCTTTATTCTGTTTTTTTAAGACTGATTCTTAAAAGGTGGTATTTCTTTTTTCAGCAACATTCTTCAGCCAAAATGAATGATTAAAAGAGTATATCAGTGCTGAGAAATTATTTCCTGAGGGCTTCCTCTGTACAAGATGGTGGGCTAGATCTTCCAAAAGATAACTTTACAAAAAAGGAATTTCATGTCCTTCAGCTTCTTAACTGTGTTGATGAACCCATTCATTTTATTCACGTATCACTCCATGCACAATTACTTCAGACATCAAGAATACAAAAGTCTGCTAATGATCAACAATTAGAGAGACCTAAACATGTTCATATAATGCAAGAAGATATAAAGTCCTCTTGAGTTTTAGTCCCAGCTTATTAACTAACATTCTATGACTTCTTGAGGAAGTCTTTTCACCTCCTGGGCACTATTTCTAATCTGGAAAATGAGAGAATTGAGTTTCATTACTTGCAATGTTCCTTCCAGGCATATGGCAGTGGAACATTTCCTAAACAGCTGTTCCACTGACAGAAACACCTACTGCTGCCGAGTCAATTCTGACTCATGGTGATCCAGTGTGTTACAGAGTAGAACTGATTCATAGGGTTTTCTTGGCAGTGATCTTTACAGAAGCAGATCACCAGGTCTTTCTTCTGTGGTGTTGCTAAGTGTGTGCTAACAGCAAACCTTAGGTTAAAGGTTGAATGCGAACTATTTGTGCCACCCAGGGACCTTCCACTGATAATTAGTTCCTTCAAATGCCCCAAAGAGAAAGATATGCATTGGTCAAGTAATGTTGCATGTCTCAGAGCCATCTCAGAGGTTCACAAAGCACATTAGAATATTAAAAGGAATGAGAAGTCCTGAAATAAAGGAATCTCCCAACTAATTTAACCAGGGAATCCTCTATTCAGTTAATACCTATTAAAGCCCAAAACACTCAAACCAAATCCACTGCCGTCAACAATGTTCTTCAAAATATTCTTTGGAAAATGATGAGAGGGAATAGCAACTGGTGATAATACCTATAAAATCCTCTCATATCTTATGACGTAGAAAATAAGTGTTTAGTGCAGGGATGGATTTAAATGAATATGATATTGGCCATACTCCATTCCCATTTTTATCCTAATCTCTAAAAAGGGTTCTGGAATGCATAAAGGATGAAATCAGAGATGTGTGATGGAATTTCCATTCCAAGGGATAAAATATTTCATTATAAAATAAAACTATGGAACCCCCACTAGTACAACTTTATGAGAATTAGGAAAAGGCACCCCTTTTGGGTAGATGTAGCTCTAGGAGTACACAGCTTCTTGAGTCTATGCATCTTTGTGTGAATAAGGGTGGATGTACCTTTTCCTTAGGAGCACCAAGAAGACCCAGATAGGCAATCAGGACAGAAGAGAAAGATGTTGTCTCTTACAGAATGAAAAGTTGGAGAGTGAGAGGAAGTCTTTGAAGTTTACATGTGGTCCAGCCAAGGTGACTAGGATGGGAGCCCAGAATAGAAGTGCTAGACAGGAATGGTGTATACATTTGGCTAGTACATCAGTTATGCCTTACCTCTCAAAAATCTGAGCACAGAAGATGCAATGGGTTAGAGAACTGATAGAGTGGAGGTTAAGGAATTGGGTAAACCTCCAAAACTTATAACTAGAAAACAAGAACTCTGATATCATAAAGGAAAACAACTCAAAGCATTAATGTCTAAATACAGAAGTCAGATATTCAAGAATGATAATCACTTCCTTTCTTCTTATGGTACTGGAATGGCCTGGTCAGCACAACTTAAATGAAGCTATGAGAAACCAAGGCAAACAACCATAGTAATTGCTTTGGTTACCTTGTGCTGCTCTAACAGAAAACATCACAAGTGGGATGGATTTAACAAACAGGAGTTTATTCTGTTACAGTTTTGGAGGCTAGATTTCTGCATTCAAAGTGTCAAGATCAAGGGGCAAGGTGAAAGCCCCTTGACCTTGGGTTTCAGCTCTGCCTCTTGCTCCCAGCCCACTGAAGCTAGAGGTGTCTCTTCATTCAGGCAGCCACTGGCTGCTGAGGCTGACAAGCCAAGGTCAACAAGTAAAATGGCACAGTCCCGAGATTACCAAACAACATAGCAGGCCACTAATTGAAGCCCAGAAGCTGTGCCAACACTGGCAGGCAATCATGGCAAGCTGCTAAACAATGACTCAGCTACATGCAGGATTCAAGAGTGCCAAAAGCTGCAGACCTTTCTCAACCTTTTTCCTTGTATTCTGGAAGCAGATCACATCCCTAAGGCAGCTACTCAGCTGCTCCAGTAGATTCCACCTTGGAGTTGACTACCAATCTCACCACGGGGAATCACTACATCCAGCTGCTCAGCCACTCAAAACCAGGCCCAGTCAGGTTGATACATAAACTTAACTACCACAGTAACAAAAAAAGAGAACTTTTTAAATTCTAAAAGGACTGGGGCTTCCCGTCCACCAAAAAGACAAGGATAGGGATGCCCAGCATTTGAAAAGGAAAATAAATCTATGCAGAGAAACCTCATGAATTATTGGAACCTTTAACTCTATGACCATGGAACCAATCAAGAAGAAATGGATTTAAGTGGTAGAAAGCAGAATTCTGCTTATATTTTATTTTCTTGGTTTATTTGGGAAGTAAGGGAATATTCATATTAGTCTTTATTCTGTGGCAGAGGTGTGGTACTCTCAAATTTGGGTGTCATACATTATCCTTAATTCTCTAAGGGCAACTGAAGACCATATAGGCATATTTCAGAGACAATGCCGGTTCAGTTCTAGACCACTGCAATAAAGCAAATATTGCAATAAAGTGAGTCCAGTGAATTTTTGGTTTCCCAGTGCACATAAAAGTTCTGTTTACACTATATTGTAGTTTATTAGGTGTGCAGTAGCATTATAAAAAAAAGTTTGAAATGTTGTGAGAATTACTGAAATGTGACACAGACACAAACTGAGCACGTGCTGTTGGGAAAATGGCACAGATAGACTAGCTTTGAGGCAGGACTGGTACAAACATTCAACTTGTAAAAATAATGTAACATCTGCAAAAAATAATAAAGTGAAGTGCAATAAAATAAGGTATGCCTGTATAAGGAAAGTGTCAGAAACATTAAAACTGAATCAAATTATGTACTGAGGGAGATGTGGGAAACAGAACTACAAGAGGAAATCACAGAAATGGTGGTCCAATATGCTGCTACTACCTCCAGTGCACTTGTCAATATGTACTTTGAACTCCTCCAACATCTGAGCCTTTTGCAACGTAAGCTAACAAATCTTTTTAGTATCAAAGGTTTTTCTGGGTTTAGTTGCAAATTTAATAGCTTCTGAGATTGTAATGAAGAAAAATCCACATACTTCAAGCATCCATCAGTGGAAAATTAGCTAATCAAAGAATCATGGTATAGACATTCTGAAGGACCAAGAAGTTCACAGTGAACCATATCTTTAAATTCACACTTGATATGGGATTTGAAAATATCTGATAAACAGCTCTGCCTGTCTTTCCTTTACTATCAAAAATATTTATAAGATTGGTTGTTATCAGGGCTCAGTAGGAGGGAGGGAAAAGGCAGACATAATACCTCATGACTTTAGATGACGTGTAGCACTGGGAAGGCCAACCACGAAGGAACTGTTCCAAGTGCTGAGGAGCAAGGCTGTCTCCTTAAGGACTAAGGTATGCCTGACATAAGCCATGATATTTCCAATAGCCATGTATGCATGTGAGAGCTGGACAGTGAATAAGGAAGACTGAAGAAGAGTTGATGCTTTTGAGTTGTGGTGCTGGCAAAGAATGTTGAAAGTACCATGGACTGCTAAAATAACTAACAGATCTGTCCTGGAGGAAGTGCACCCGAAATGCTCCTTGGAAGTGAGAATGGCCAGACTTCGTCTCACCTATTTTGGTCGTGTTGTCAGAAGGGACCACTCCTTGGAGAAGGATGTCATGCTTGGTAGGGTGGAGAGTCAACAAAAGAGGGGGAGGCCTCCAACGAGATGGATTGACATGGTGGCTGCGATGATGGGCTCAAGTATAGTAGGGATCATGGAGCTGGTGTGGGATCAGGCAGTGTTTCGTTCTGCTGTGCATGGGGTCACTATGAATCGGAGATGACTTGACAGCACCTAACAACAACAACAATACCTCAGGGACACTGAGCTTCTGTTAAGGGCGATAGAAAAATTCAGAAAAAGTTCATGGTGAATGTGGAACAACATGATGAACGTAATCAATGTCGCTGAATGGTACATGTGGAGAACATAGAAACAGCAAATGCTTTGTTACCTATACATTTACCTCAATTTAAAAAGGAAAAGAAAAAAGGAGAATAATGTCTATTTAAAAAAGTAAATTTTTCACATTTGGATTTTTCTCTGATTCTCCCTAGAACAGCTGCTTACATGAAAAAGAGGGAGGTGATATAGAAGCTAAAAGAGTTTACTCTGGAGTCAGATGGTAGGGACTCAGATCTCAGATTCACCTTGATAGTGTAAACTTGGGTAAGTTACTTAAACAGTTTGTAGCTCAGTTTCTTCACATGGATAATGGAAATAGCAT